TTCCAGCTACAGCCTGGCACCGGCCAGAGGTGGCCATCTCTACCCACCCCATGCCCAGCCCCTAGGGTTTCTCATTCTTGTGGCAGGCACCAGCCATCTGGGATTCTGGCAACGGGAGATGGAGGGATCTCTGATTATGACAGAAGAGCACACAGTAAGAAGGACCCTGTGTCTTTCTCCATCCCGTCTCTTGCCTGGATCCACCACGAGCTATGACATCCTGGGGGGTGGGGAGCAGTGGAGAGCAAATAGCGGCCACCTCCAAGCTGGTTGCTTCCAGTCTGAGCTCCTTAAGGGGTTTATTTCATACAGTCTCTAACTTAACCAACGGACGACATTGCCTAGGATCCTGTGCTTGCGGCTAATTCACCATTTATATAACAATCTGTCTAACGACCCCTCCCCCAGCCCACAAGCTCCAGGAGGACAAGAACACTTTCCGCTTCCACACTCCTGGATCCTCAGGGCCCGGCCTGTGCCTGGCATGTAACAGAATAAAGGTTTGTTCTTGCCTGAGTTATCACACTAAAATACCGTGAGATAGAGATTGTTACCCGGTTTTCTGACGAAGACACTGAGGCTTGTCTAAAATCACACAACTAGGGACTTCCCTGGTGGTGCAGTTGTTAAGAATCCGTCTGCCAATGCAGGAGACATGGGTTCGAGCCCTGGTCTGGGAAGATCCCACATGCCGCGGAGCAACTAAGCCCGTGTGCCACAACTGCTGAGCCTGTGCTCTAGAGCCCACGAGCCACAACTACTGAGCCTGCGTGCCACAACTACTGAAGCCCGCATGCCTAGAGCCCGTGCTCCGCAATGAAAGAAGCCACCGCAATGAGAAGCCTACATACCGCAACGAAAAGTAGCCCTTACTCGCCGCAACTAGAGAAAGCCCACGCTCAGCAGTGAAGACCCAACAGAGCCAAAAATAAATAAATAAATAAAATCACACAAGTAACAAGAGTGGGACACAATCCAAACCTAAAGCAAAGCCATGCTTCTCACCAAACTATCCAGTCTTCTGTCCATCCAGTGTAGGGGGAAGAGAATGTGAGGTCCAGAGGAGGGAGCACGGGACCCCACCAGTGTCCTGACCCCCAGCCTCTCTGTTGGCTGAGGGAGCCAGAAGCTCTGAGCCTTGGAGCGGCACCCACCCTGTGAAATATTAACCCAGGAGCTGGGGGGAAAACCCAAACAAATATCCTATTTACAGAGGCTGGAAGCTTTCCAGGAGGGAGTGGATCACAGGCCAGATACTGGGGGTGGGAGGCTGATGTGAAGGGAGCCAAGGCAAGTGCCAGGGGCCCCCTGGGGGCAGGGGTGCAGTTGAGGATCTGAGGGCATCCCGGGGGGTCACTGACCTGCATAGACTAATCTGCAGGGTGGGTTACATTAGGAAGATATGAGGGGGGAATGCGCATCACCCCTCACTGGTGCCACCTGGAGGCAGAGGGCCTTGGGGATACCTGGGTTCCAGGCTGGCAGTCAAACAGTGATCACAGCCATACTGAGCACCGTATTCCAAGGACTCTGCTAAGTACTCCACATGCATCAACTCACTTAATTCTCCCAACAACTACACGAGGCAGGAATTATAATCGACAACTTACAGATGAGGCAGCTGAGACTCAGTGGTGACGTGACCGGCCACAGACTATGTACGTGTACAAGGGTCTATATGTACCTATCAGTATGTATACATGTATTCATTAGTTTGAGACCCAGAATTCTGAGCTTTCCATGCATGTTTTCATTGAAGCCACAAATAACCTATAAGGACATACTATTCTGTTTTCCAGATGAAGAAACTATGGTTCAAATATGTGCATTAATGTGCCCAAGTCCCCCAGTAAGTGCCTGGCTCTCTCCACCATTATGCTATGGGCAGGAACTGTTTCTCCAAGCCTCAGGTCTCCCTTCTGCGGCATGAGCCTTTGCCTGCTTACAACCTGGAGGGTCCTGGGCCCTGAGCACAGATGATCGGGCATCACCGGTAACTATTCTACAGGCATATATCATTTTTTGACCACAGGACTAGAAGCTTCCTGAGGACGAGACCTAGTGTGACTCATGGGGTCTCCATGACACAGTGAGTGCATGACTGGTTGGTTGCGGGTGAAGGAGCCTCAGCTCCATGAGGTCCCCAGGCAATATTTACCAGCCTCAATATTCATCAGGGTCCTTATCTGTCAATGGGTTGCAAACCTACCACATGGGGCTGCTGAGCAGATGCCATGAAATAATGGCAAGAAGGTGGTGACCAATAATTATGGAGTGATTTCCTAAGAATAATGCTTGGAGAGATCCTTCTGCTCATTTCTGAAGCTGGAAAATCAGCTTCAGGGATTGAACCAGATATAGGATGTTTGTCTCAAAGTAAATGATCCAACAGGGGTCTCTGAACTCGCATTTCGGGGGTCAAGAACAGCTGAGGTACTGAAGCCTTCTGCCCCAAAATAAGTCGCAGAATCCTGGTGGTGCTAATGACAACAAGAACTGTTTTTAACCTTTGTAGAGAGCTTTAGAATGCACCGAGTTCTTTCATCCTCCCAGTAGCCTTCAGTTAGTGTAGAGATAGGAAAACTGAGGCACAGACAGGGGATAGGACTTGCCCAAGTTCACACAGTGAACCATAGCAGAGCCGGGCTTGAACCCAGCTCCCCAGATGACTAGTCCGCACTTTTCCCCACAACAACCGGCTTCAGCACCCTGGCTCTCAGCGTTGGTGTGCGTGACTTTTCGTTTTCAAATCCACTGGCCCAGCTGCCCTGCTCAGCTTATGACCCAGGCCTGATGACATAGTCCAGGCTTAGGGGTTGAGGAGAGAGAGCAACCATTGTTCCACTCCCTATAAGGCATGTTGCAGTCTCAGCCTCTGCTGGGCACATCTAGGATCAACAGTCTCCAGCAAATCCGCCACACACAACCCAACCACACAAACAGAGTCAACATATACTGCCCTTCCCAACCCATCTCCATGTCATATTTATTTCAACACCACCATTTAGCCTATATTATATGGCAGAATAGGGATTTGCTCGCTCTTTAAAAAAAAAAAGCCCCCATAACCTTCCACTGGTGTGAAAAAAGACAGGACCAAGCCACCATGACAGTGATGTGCAACCACTGTTCCCACTGAGGGGTGACAGCAAGTTTCCACTTTGTCTCCCCCGCTGTTCTCCAAAATTCTACTAGTTCAGGGAGGCAGCCAACAGCTGGTGACATCATCAGCTGGTGCTAAAAAGAAAGGCTTTGAGGTAGACACATGCAAATATTTCCTCACCATTGTCATTGCCATCGGCATACCTGCAATGTCCTGAGGATTTAATATGGGCTAAATGATGCACTAAGCGCTTCAGTGCATGACCTCTCATTTAGCCCAACAACCCTATTTTACAGATGCGGACGTTGAGGTGGGAAAAGGTGAGTTGAAAGTGAAACTGACTGCTGGCTACCATAGCTCTGTGGGTGGTACTTGACTTGGCTGCTTGACTCGCCCAAGTTCTCACAACCAAAAAGTAAGTGGCATGACCAGATTTAACTACAGTGTTCTGTGACTGTCCTTTTAAAATTTATTCCATCAGTGGCCATTATAAAGGTGGAGAAAGGGTACTTACAATGCCAGGCCAGAGCACAATGTCCATTTGTCATCTAGAACATATTTTCTCTGAACACCAGACACTTCAAATTAATACAGTTCTGAAAGGGTGCCCCATTAGACACCCTGTGACCCTGCATCACATGAACAGCCCCTGATATCCTCCCCACCAATATCTGGCCCCTACTCTTCTCTGATTTCCTTGTCAACCACTCTTCCTCTCCTTCACTCTGCTCCAGCCCTATTGTCCTCCTGCTGGTTTTTAAAATCATCAGATATACTACCTCAGGACCTTTGCGCTTGCTGCATGGCTTGCTCCCTCCCTCCCTTCAGGTCTTTGCTCAGATATCACCTTATTAGAGCCCTTCTCTGACCACCCTCTATAAAAAGGGCAACTCCACTCTCTGGCCCTTACCGTGGCCCTTCCTGCTCTATTTTTCTCCACCCTACATATATTTTTCTCCTCCTTACATATATTTCTGATTTGCTGAATGAACTAGTGAACTGAAACAGAGAGACCCCCTCACCACTGGCAACCACCTCCTGCCCTAAGTACACTCTCCTGTGACCCTTTTCAAAGCTGTCCTCAATGCTCATTCTAACCAGTTTGAACCCTGAAGAGAAACATTCTGTAGGAAAGATCATATGGGGTGATTTTTCCATGGAGGCATCAGGCATTCCCCCTCTGATTTAAAAATCAAATGTGCTGACAGGCACAAAGACTGGAAGTCTTGGACTCCTTGGGCCAAAAAGCAGCCAAGTCAAGTTCCACCCACAGAGCTATAGCAGCCAGCAGTCAGTTTCACTTTCAACCCACCTATCAGGCTCCCTTGGCCCTTAGGTTTGCTACCACCCCATCCCTTTGCCACCCTGTTGGATTTCCCCGCGCCTTGTCATCCCTGAGCTTTCAAGCACTGCTTTGGGGAAACTTAAGCTCATCCAACAGGTAGGAGGGGCAGAGGCTGCCTCTTTCAGCCCTGCATCTATCCCCCATTTTGTAGGGGCATGAGACAGGGCGTCATTTTCTTTCTGGAGGAAGGGTGCTCACTTTTAAAGGCATGTTTCTCAGACCTGGCAGCAGAGGTAGAGAAGGGAGTCCTCCCACCACTGGCCGAGATGGACCTTTGCAAATGGTTGCAGCGGCGATGGTGAGGCACCGGAGGCAAGAAGGGAAGGGGGGAGGACGCAGAGATATCCCTTGGCCCCGGGAGCGGACGGGATGCTTCCTCGGCGAGGAAGAGCGGAGGATGCGGCCCGGGAGATGCTGGGGAGGCATGGGATCTAGTCGGGCTAGGGCCGGGGTCTGCGGAAGACGAGGGTCGGAGGGGTGGAGCTTGGGATCCCACGGACAGGAGCCGGGGGCGAGATGGGGGTCGCGCCGGGGGGACTCCGTGGCCATTACCTTGCCCTTAGGGCGGCGGGCGGGGCTGAGGGACGCCGGGTGCTGGCTCCGGGGCCCGGCCCCTCCCCCGATCCGGCTCCTACGGCTCGCAGCCTGCAGCTGCCGCCGCCTCCGCTGTCAACAAACCCGGGGCGCGTCACTTCCGGGGCCGCCCCTTAGCAACAGCTAACGGGTTCCCCCGACGGGTCCCGCGGCGAACGAGGGCGGCGGCGGCCGAAGGTTCCGGAGCCCCGCGGCGGCTCTTCTCCCGGACACCGGTTGGGTCTGCGGGTGGAGGAGGGAGCGGTTGGTCCCCACCCCAGTCCTCAGCGCGCTTCTCACGGGCTCTCGCTGGGCTGGGGGAGCTGGGGAGGACCCGCTCGGTGACACCGGCTTCCGGGCCCGCTCTGCCTTGCGGTTTCCCGAAGTCCAGGGAATGATTAAGGGCGGACTGACTCCACCTTCCTCGTCAGCACGGACATGCCTCCAGCGCCAGCCCCTACATCCAGCGCCCTATTGAACATCTATCCCTGGCTTATCCGCAGGTAGCTCGCACCCACGCGTCCAAAAGCGGTCACCATCTTCCCCCCGAAACGCGCTGCTACTTCTCCAGCTAGTTAATGCGCCCTCCAGGCAACGCGGCTGTCACCTGGGAAATGGGGAGTCGGCCTTGGCCCCTGCGTTTCCCTTAGCTCCTCTTCCAGTCGCCAAGTCCTAAGGATCTCTCAAACCAGCCCCTCCCCTCCGCCAGTAGTGCCCGACTCTGTCCACCATCATTTCTCCTTTGGATTTCTGCAACAGCCTCCTAACAGAACTCCCGGCTCCCTCCCCTCATTCTCTCCACAGTTCGACAGTGAATTTTCCAAAACCAATAAATCTGATCACAGCACCCCGCTGCTTATAACCCTTATGGTAGACAAGGATGATCTGTCCCCCGTCTCTCTCCCCACCCTCTTCCCTTATTTGCCCCCCCCCACGCTTTCATTCTCCAATTCAGACAGTTTAAAGCAATTTTGGTTCTTTTAATGATCCTCTTCTCTTACATAGGCTCAAATAATTTCTTCCCTACTAAACACTTTTCTTGCTCCCATCTGTATCCTCGTCCTTCTGGTCTCAGTTTAGATGCTGTTTTCTTGACGAACCCTTTCTTGACACGACCCTCCTAATAACCACTTTTGTGGATGTTTTCGTTCTGTACAGTATCTTTTAGTCTTTAACTATGTGTAAGCGTGTTTGTGCAATTTTGAATCCTTTAAAAAGCCTTTTGATTTTGAATTCTCAAAACAAGATGTTCTTGTTTAAATAAAAAATCTAAACATTACAGAAATATAGGGTGGAAAAAATGAAAAGTCCCATTCAAACCCTAACCCAACCCCAATTTCATTCCCTTCCCCAGGGGGCACCACTCTTTAACAGTTTGGTGAGTATCCCCTTAGTCGTTTAAAAATATGCATGCAAGAGCTAAAACTATAAAATTCTTAGGAGAAAATAAAGGCATAAGTCTTTGTGATTTAGGGTTAGGCAATGGTTTCTTAGGTATGACACCAAAAGCATAAGCACAAGAGAAAAAAATAGACAAACTGGATTTCATCAAAATTAAAAACTTTTGGGCTTCCCTGGTGGCGCAGTGGTTGAGAGTCCGCCTGCCAATGCAGGGGACACGGGTTCGTGCCCCGGTCCGGGAAGATCCCACATGCCGCGGAGCGGCTGGGCCCGTGAGACATGGCCGCTGAGCCTGCGTGTCCGGAGCCTGTGCTCCGCAACGGGAGAGCCCACAACAGTGAGAGGCCTGCGTACCGCAAAAAAAAAAAAAAAAATTAAAAACTTTTGTGCTTCAAAGGGCACCATCAAGAAAGTGAAAACACAACTCACAGAATGGGAGAAGATATTTGCAAATCACATATCTGGTAAAGAACTAGTAATCCAGACTATATAAAGAATTTATGACTAAATAATAAAAAGACAAGTAACCTAATGTAAAATAGGCAAAAGAGCTGACTAGACATTTCTCCAAAGAAGATACGCAAATGGCCAAGAAGCACACGAAATTATACTCGACATCATTAGTCATCAGGAAAATGTAAATCAAAACCTCAAAGAGATACAACTTCATATCCTAGGATGGATACAATCAAAGAGATAGACAATAACAAGTATTGGCCAGGATGTGGAGAAATGGGAACCCTCCTACGTTGCTGATGGGAACTTAAAATGGTGCAGCAGCTTTGGAAAACAGTTTGGCAGTTCTTCAAAAAAGTTAAACATAGAGTTATCATATAACCTTGCAATTCCACTTCTAAGTATATACCCAAGAGAAAATTTTCACAGCACCATTATTCATAATAGACAAGAAGTAGAAATAACCCAAATGTCCTTCAACTGGTGAATGAATATGATATGGAATAATATAGTCATACGATGGAATATTATTTGGTGAGAAAAAGGAATGAAGTAGTGATACATGCTACAATATGCATGGGACTTGGAAACATGGTAAATGAAAGATACCAGTCACAAAAGATGATACATTTATGATTATATTCCTATGTCCAGAATACACAAATCTATAGAGACAGAAAGTAGATTAGTGGTTGCCTAGGGCTGAGGGGGTGGGGGAAAAAGGAATTACTGCTAATGGGTACAGGGTTTCTTTTTGGGGTGATGAAAATGATCTAAAATTAGATGGTGATGATCATTGCATGGTTGATGGATGATAGTTGTATATGTACAGCTCTGTGGATATTCTGAGAAACAGTGAATTGTTCACTTTAAATGTATGCTCTAAATGTATTGTATATGCGGGGCTTGCCTGGTGTCGCAGTGGTTAAGAATCTGCCTGCCAATGCAGGGAACACAGGTTTGAGCCCTGGTCCGGGAAGATTCCACATTCTGTGGAGCAACTAAGCCCGTGCGCCACAACTACTGAGCCTGTGCTCTAGAGCCTGTGAGCCACAACTACTGAGCCCGCATGCCTAGAGCCCATGCTCCCCAACAAGGGAAGCCACTGCAATGAGAAGCCCACGCATCACAACAAAGAGTAGCCCCCGCTCAGCACAACTAGAGAAAGCCAGCATGCAGCAATGAAGACCAAAAAAAAACGGTATGTGAATTATATCCCAATAAAGGTGTTAAAAATGCATTTATAAACATGTATATGTAAACTCATGATGCAAGATGGATTTAACAACATAAATAGGATCATTCTATACAAATTGTTCTGGGACATATTTTTATCACTTTTTATGTCAGATCATATAATCCTGTTTAATTCTTTAGAATGGTTGCATTGTATTCCAGTAATTGCACAATCTTCTTATTGGTGGAATTTGGTTGACAAATTTAGGTAGAAGACCTAAATAGACATTTCTCCAAAGAAGACATACAGATGGCCAAGAAGCACATGAAAAGCTGTTCAACATCACTAATTACTAGAGAAATGCAAATCAAAACTACAATGAGGTATCACCTCAAACCAGTTAGAATGGGCATCATCAGAAAATCTACAAGCAACAAATGCTGGAGAGGGTGTGGAGAAAAGGGAACCCTCTTGCACTGTTGGTGGGCATGTAAATTGATACAGCCACTGTGGAGAACAGTCTGGAGGTTCCTTATAAAACTAAAAGCAAAATTACCATATGATCCAGCAATCCCACTACTGGGCATATACCCAGAGAAAACCATAATTCAAAAATACACATGCACCCCAATGTTCATTGCAGCACTGTTTACAATAGCCAGGACATGGAAGCAACCTAAATGCCCATCGACAGATGAATGGATAAAGAAGATGTGGTACATATATACAATGGAATATTACTCAGCCATAAAAAGGAACAAAATTGGGTCATTTGTAGAGATGTGGATGGATCTAGAGAATGTCATACAGAGTGAAGTAAGTCAGAAAGAAAATCAAATATCATATATTAACGCATATATGTGGAACCTAGAAAATGGTACAGATGAACCGGTTTGAAGAGCAGAAATTGAGACACAGATGTAGAGAACAAATGTATGGACACCAAGGGGGGAAAGCGGCGGGGGGGTGGAGGTGGTGCTGGGATGAATTGGGCGATTGGGATTGACATGTATACACTGATGTGTATAAAATGGATGACTAATAAGAAAAATTAAATAAAAAATAAACATTAAAAAAAGAGTATGAGGGCTTCCCTGGTGGCACAGTGGTTGAGAGTCCGCCTGCCGATGCAGGGGACACAGGTTCGTGCCCTGGTCTGGGAAGATCCCACATGCCGTGGAGCGGCTGAGCCCGTGAGCCATGGCCGCTGAGCCTGCACGTCCGGAGCCTGTGCTCCGCAACAGGAGAGGCCACAACAGTGAGAGGCCCGGGTACCGAAAAAAAAAAAAAAAGATTGTCACTGTAAAAAAGAATATGAAAAAGAATGTATATGTATATATATATATATATATATATATATATATATATATATGTAACTGAATCACTTTGGTGTACACCAGAAATCAACTACACTTCAATAAAATAAATTTTAAAAAAATTAAAAAAAATCTCTCATAAATTCTACCAGACACTTAAGGGGTAAATATACCAAATAGTACCAGTTCTACACAACTTCCATAAAATTGAAGGGGAGGGAAGACATTCCTACTCATTTTATGAGGCCATCATTACCCTGATACCAAAGATAGACAAAGACATGACAAGAATATAAAACTATAGACCAATATCCCTTGTGAATATAGATGCAAAAATTTTAACAGAATTTTCAACAGAATAAATACAGAATAAACTGAATTCATTTTTTTGTTTGTTTTTTTATAAATTTGCCGTGCGCAGGCTTCTCATTGCAGTGGCTTCTCTTTATTGCAGAGCACAGGCTCTAGGCGCCCGGGCTTCAGTAATTGTGGCACGCGGGCTCTAGAGCGCAGGCTCAGCACTAGTGGCGCACAGGCTTAGTTGCTCCGCGGCAGGGAAGTCCTCAAACTAATGATTGAGTTTAGCAAGATTTCTGGATACGAGATCAAGAAAAGCAATTAAAAATAAATAATAGCGGGCTTCCCTGGTGGCGCAGTGGTTGAGAGTCTGCCTGCCGATGCAGGGGACACGGGTTCGTGCCCCGGTCCGGGAAGATCCCACATGCCGTGGAGTGGGTGGGCCCGTGCGCCATGGCCGCTGAGCCTGCGCGTCCGGAGTCTGTGCTCCGCAACGGGAGAGGCCACAATAGTGAGAGGCCCGCGTACCGCAAAAAAAAAAAAAAAAAAAATGAAACCAGCGGAATTCCCTGCCGGTCCAGGGGTTAGGACTCCATGCTTTCACTTTTGAGGACCCGAGTTCAATCCTTGATTGGGGAACTAAGATCCCGCAAGCCGCGCAGCACAGCCAAAAAAAAAAAAAGAAGAAAAATAAAAAAGAAACCACTGAGGAGAACCTATAATATTTCAATATATAAAGTTAAAAAATTTTTATTAGTGCTTGTCAAATTGCTCTGTGAAAAGTCTTTACAGGTTAACTCTCTTTAAAGCTGTTTGAGAGAAGTTTGTTTCTCTACAACCTAGTGATGGTAGGTGCAATAAATACTGATGACTTTTCCCAGACCAAGAGGCACAGTATGGTTGTTCAATTCATATTCCTCTGAGTATTAGTCCAATTTATTGTTATTTCAGGTTCTAGCGAGACATTTTTATTTCTTCTTTTTTTAAAAAATAAATTTATTTATTTATTTATTTTTGGCTGCGGGTCTGCGTTGCTGCACGCGGGCTTTCTCTAGTTGTGACGAGCGGGGGCTACTCTTCGTTGCGGTGCGCGGGCTTCTCACTGCAGTGGCTTCTCTTGTCGTGGAGCACAGACTCTAGGCACGCAGGCTTCAGTAGTTGTGGCACGCAGGCTCAGTAGTTGTGGCTCGTGGGCTCTAGAGCGCAGGCTCAGTAGTTGTGGCGCACAGGTTTAGTTGCTCCGCTGCGTGGGGGATCTTCCCGGACCAGGGCTCAAACCCGTGTCCCCTGCATTGGCAGGCGGCTTCTTACCCACTGCACCACGAGAGAAGTCTCATTTCTTCTTTGAAGTGCCTGCTTATAAGCGTTGCTGTCTTACCTCCTTCAGGTGTTTGCTTAGACATCACCTCAGAGCAGTTTTCCTGACCCCCTATGTAAAATTGCAGCCCCTCCCGCTGCCCACTCCTGTTTTATTTTCCCCTGTCGGAATTTATCACCATCTGATGTACCATTTAGTTTACTTATTTACCTTATTTAATGTCTAACTCCCCTCACTAAAATGTCAGTGCTTCGAAGGCAGAGACTTTTGTCTTTTATTCACTACTAAATTCCCAATACCTAGGACATATCTGGCATGTCGTAGGCACTCAATACATTTCTTGAATGACTGAATGCTTTTTTTTTTTCTTCTTCTTCTTGGGGTGTTTGTCTTTTTCTTGTTGATTTAAGAACTCTCTATACATTAGGGAGATTAACCCTTTATCATAAAGGGTACATATATTTTCCCCTGTTGATGCTTGTCTTTTCCTTTACCATTTAGAGACTGAAAATTTTAGGTAGTTATATATCTGTCTTATATTTCATGGCTTCTGGGCCTTATGTCTTCCTTCTCCAAGATTCTAAACATTTTTCTATATATTTTTGTTCTAATCCCATAGGATTTTTCCCTTGCAGAGCTTTAATTCATTCAGAATTTACTTTCCTGTCAGATGTCAGATAAGAACAGACCTTTATTTTTTTCCGAATGATAGCCAACTGTCTTTTTTTCTTAACACGTTGTTTGTGTTTTTCCCTGTCTTTCTAATCAATCTTTCAAAGGGCTGGTGGTATTTTTTTTTTTAACCTGGAAAAAATTCCTGTCCTATTGTGCAATTAAGTCAACATTTATTCATTTCTTACATTTCATGCAAAGGAACATAATCTTTGTATTCTGATGAAACATTTATCACAGTACCTAGCACATAGTGGGAGCAGAAATTGTGGGATGAGTGAATAAAGGAACAGGTCTCCCTGTGCTTGCTCCATGGAGTAGTGAAATCCTGGTGGGCAGCAGCTGAGAGCTGGAGGGGCTTTCGAGATTATACAGTCCAGTGACAAACTTTTCACCGATCTGTGGAGAAATTTAAAAAGTAAGGACAGGAGTTCCCTGGTGGTGCAGTGGTTGAGAATCCACCTGCCAATGCAGGGGACACTGGTTCGAGCCCTGGTCCGGGAAAATCCCACGTGCTGCGGAGCAACTAAGCCCGTGTGCCACAACTACTGAGCCTGTACTCTAGAGCCCGTGAGCCACAACTACTGAGACTATGTGCTGCAACTACTGAAGCCCGCGCTCCTAGAGCCTGTGCTCTGCAACAAAAGAAAGCACTGCAATGAAGAGTAGCCCCCGCTTGCCGCAGCTAAAAAGCCCGTGCGCAGCAACAAAGACCCAACACAGCCAAAAATAAATAAATGAATTTATTTAAAAAAAGAAAATCTGCCTGCCAATGCAGGGGAGAAGGGTTTGATCCCCAATCTGGGAAGATCCCACATGCCGCCGAGCAACTAAGCCCGTGCGCCACAACTACTGAGCCTGCGCTCTAGAGCCCGCGAGCAACAACTACTGAAGCCTGCACGCCACAATTACTGATGCCGAGCACCTAGAGCGTGTGCTCCACGAAAGGAGAAGCCATTGCAAGGAGAAGCCCGGGCACTGCAACAAAGAGCAGCCCAGCTGGCTGAGCGCAGCAATGAAGACCCAACGCAGCCAAACATAAAATAAATAAAATAAAATTTCCCTTCTGAAAAAAAAAAAAAAGGACAATTATGCACATATGCACATATAGGTGTAGAGAAAAAACACTGAGAGGCTGCCAACTGTTTTTTCTTGGGAAGGATCCTGAAATTTTGGCTTTCCTTTTCTATTGTCCTGATATTATGATAAATTTCATGTTCATGAAATCCAAAAGTCAAGGAAACACTGAACTGTAGTCTTGCTCTTCCATCCAATGTTTATTGAACCATCTGCTCTGTGCAGTCACTGCTATAGGCGTCGAGGGTTCAGCAGTGAAAAGACCAGCAGGCAGGCCTTGTATAGTTTAGCAGGGAAGGTCTACATTCCTGAAACGATAACTCAATAGCTTATTGCAGGTGATGAACGTGTAAGGAAGAGGACAAGGTGACAGATATACTGCCTAGTTGGAAGCTGAGGCCCAGGAAAGGTCAAGGAATAGCCTCGGGGAGCATAGACCGCGCGGTCACCTGCGCGATGGCGCTCTAGGTCCGCGGGCCTCGTAGGTGGGGGAGCGGAGGCGGGACCGTGTTCCCGGCGTTCTCTTGCCCCGCCCACCCCGCCGCGCCGCCAGAAGGCAGAGCGGAGAAGGGGTGGCACGTGAACGGGGCGGGGCGGAGCAGAACGCGCGCGCCTGAGGCTGAGTTTCCGGTCGGAGGCCTTTGCCCAGCGCCCCGCGTCCCTGAGGGGCGGCGGCGCTGGCGGCGGCGGAGGCAGCGGGGGGATCCGGAAGTCAACACCATGTCGAGTCTGCACAAGAGCCGGTAAGGGGCCATTGGGGCAGACCATCCAGGCCGCTCCTGGCCGGGTTGCCCCTTCTGACCTGCGGAGGGGGCGCGCGGATGCGGCCATGAACCGAGACACCCCCCGCCCTGCCCCTGGCAGAAGGTTTTGGGCGCCTACTTTACAACCTCTTTGCTGTGGGCCTGAGGGGGGCACGGAACGTGGACACCTCTCCTGCCCCTCGGTGTCGCCCCTTTTCTCTCTTCCTGTCTCTTCCTCGCCCTGGATCCCTTCCCCTGGTGTCTTCCTCTTCCAGGGCCTCGATGCCCGATCTCACCCCCACCTCCCGTCCTTTTTTCCCTTGTTAACCCTTTGCCCCAGTACCCTAGTCTGTCCAGATGCTCCCCGTCCCACGTGTCCTTTTCTTACTAGAAATGCTAGAAAACCTGGATTCTCCAGTTTGTTCTCTTCTCAGGCCAAATCCTGCAGCGTTGGCTAATTTTGCTCACTTCAGTTTTCCTCCAGGACTTGTTTTTTTTTAAATATAATTTTATTTACTTTTTGTACATCAGGTTCTTATTAGTTATCTGTTTTATATATTAGTGTATATATGTCAATCCCAATCACCCAATTCATCCCCCTCCCCCCACTTTCCCCCCCGTGGTGCAGGACTTGTTTTTTAAACCTTTTGTCCTTGCCTGCGGGCAGGCCCAGAGGTCTTCTAATGGTTATACATTTGAGCTTGGAATGCTGATTACACAGGTCCTTGTCTACAGATCAAATTACTCCTGATTCCTAGGGTTTTTTGAGTTCAGATAGCAGCAGTGTGTTGGGCCTGGCCAGCAGGAAGTGCCGTATAAATGCCAGCTCACTAAATATTAGAATGTATCTGATTTCGTGGTGCTCATTTGAGAACCTCTAGACAAGAATATCTGTACGTTTCTGGGCTTAGAGGAAAAAGTGATCTCTAGTTCTCCAAAGCTGCCTTTGGCCAGGTTTTGCTTGAGCTTTGCACATCTGTATGTCCCGAAGGGGAGGGAGGAACAGGTTGGAGACTGGTGGTGTAAGGGAGCTGTGGGCTTTAGGAGTGGTCGCTAAGCCTGTCATCTTGGGGTTTGGTTGTCCTCCATTTGCCTCCCCCTCCCTCCTTCTAGGATTGCAGATTTCCAGGATGTCCTGAAGGAGCCCACGATTGCCTTGGAAAAGCTTCAGGAGCTCAGTTTTAGCGGTAAGAGGCAACTCTCCGTTTTCAGGGTTTTCCTAGAGCAGCGTTGTGACTAAGATGGAGGGGAGGGTGCCCAAGGCCACACCTGGCCGGGTCTGGGGGCCAGCCTGCCTTTTGGGGCCATCTCCAGCTTCTGTGGAGCTGAACAACCAGTGACTACCCTGAGCTTGGAGGGGGTTCCTGGAGCAGTGGCGGCCACAATTAGCATGCCTGTAGGCCTTAGACAGGGTGCTTATGGGCCTATAAATGATGCTCATTGCTTCCTGAGAGTAACTGGAGGGCAGAGGGGAGACTTCGTGAGCAGAGGTCAGGTCTTTCCTCATTCCTCAGCAAGCTTCCTGTCTTGTAGAATTTGGTTAGCTACAGAGTGGTTCCTGGTTCTATCCCTGGCTTAGGATCAAAGCCAACTCAGGCAACAGTGAACTTTGGTTAATGGTAAGATTCCAGCCTTGAGACACTCACTTTAAGGAGCTGAACCCCAGCAGCTTTTGACTTTGCCCTCCGTGGCCTGTTAACTTCTCAACACAGAGGCTTTTGCTTGTCTTTAAAAATACCCGAAGGTGTTCTGGGTAGCTTCTTGTGACTGCTCTGCCCTTGTAACTGTGTCAGCAAGTAATGCTTGAGTTGCCTTCTTCATCCCCATGCAGATTCTGAGGTGGGTAGCTCCTGTTCACTGTACTGGGGAGACGGTAGCAACAGCTGCTTTAGCGAGGTTCATGACAGTATTTCAGGAGAAGTTTGTTTTTCTGTTCAGGAGTGATATTTAGGCCCTGAAGATCTTTTTTTTTATTATTTTTTTAAATATCTTTATTGGAGTATAATTGCTTTACAGTGGTGTGTTAGTTTCTGCGTTATAACATGGCCCTGAAGATCTTGAGGGGTTTTGGCATCTGTGCTGAGCTGAAGAATCTGCCAGGCCCCAGGGGATGCAGCCTGCTGAGTTGGGCTCTAGAGTCAGACAGACCTGTGTGTGAGTCCTTGATTTCTCTATCTTTACAGATGCGTTTCTTTATCTGTAAGATGGGGACAATAATGCTGATCTTCCCTACTTACTAGGGCTGTAATGAGGATTAAGTGAAATAATGTCCGTGAAGCCCAAAACACTTAGCATTCATAGCTTTGTTTATATTCCACAGATACTTATGGACTACCTGTTGTGGGCCATGCCCTGGGCTAGGTACTGGGACTGTAAGACAAATTTGGTCCTCGTCTTTCTGGGGCTTACCCAGTAGTAGGGGTTAAAGATGTTAAATAAATATACAGATTACATTACACGATCCCATTTGTGGTGGATGTTGTGAAGGAGAAGCGATGGAGTTATTACTGTTTATGTCAAGGGACCTGACTTTGTTTGGGAAGAGATGGTGGTTGGTAAAGGCTGCTCTGAGGAAGAAATATCAAGGGTGAGAAGGTGTTATCCTCAAAAGAACATTCCAGACGGGCCATGGAGAGAGAGTACACACAGGATTAGCATCTAGTCTAGTGATCTTTCTGGCAGAAAACCAACCTTGAAGAAGTACTTCTTGCCCACTCCATTCCCTGCCGACTGGCTCCAAGGTGGAGGACTGGGGGGTTCTGGGACTCTGCGGGGGCGTGACCTTTGCCTGCTATGTCCACAGGCATCCCCTGTGAGGGCGGACTGCGGTGCCTCTGCTGGAAGGTGGGTGTGCCTGGGTTGGAGCTTCTGCTCTTCTGAGAGTCCCTGGGTTCCTGCATGGGCTGCCCCCACCCCTGGCCCCTTCTTCCTGTTCTCTGTCTTTCCTTGCTTGTCCCAGGAAGCTCTTCTGGGAAGTTCTGTGTTTTCTGTTTCTCTTGGCGTCCCCTCCAGGATCCCCTTGGGGATGGAACACTTTGTAATGCCAGCGAAGCCCTCTGCTTCCTGGTCCAGACAGCTCAGTGGTAGTGATGCTTATTGGGACAAAAAAAGGCTGCGCTTCGCCTAAAGCCTTTCGCTGAGGTGGGAGCAGAACCCCGGTTTCCTGGTTTCCAACCCCTTTGAGCACAGAGTTTTATTATCGTTTGGAAGAGTCTGTGTGAGGAAATGCAGTAAAAAGGGCTGGTTCAAGATGAAGGTGGGGGAAGCCAGTGGGGAGAAAAGGGGAGGCTGCCCCCAGCCCATGCCTGTGTTCCTGGGTTTTATTTAGCCCATCTTGCTGTCTCCGGGGTTTCTCAGACATTTTCTTTGAGGCCTCTCAGCCTCCATCTACTTCCAGGGTTGGGCTGCGGGGGTCGCCAGAGCTTTGCTCTTCTCTCTCTCTTCAGATTCTCTTGAACTACCTCCCCTTGGAGAGAGCGTCTTGGACCTCCATCCTGGCCAAGCAGAGGTGAGACCCTGACAAAGGCGGGTGATGGGAGGCCCTTTGTATCAGACAGAGCAGGTGGTGTGAGCCCGGCCCACTTCCTGTTGCTGCTGCTGCGCTCCGGGCTCCCTGGGTGAGACCTTTGGGGATCATCCCTCTCTCCTCTTCTCTCCTACAGGGAGCTGTATTCTCAGTTCCTGAGGGAAATGATCATCCAGCCTGGCATCGCCAAGGCCAACATGGGTGTATCCAGGGAGGATGTGACCTTTGAGGACCATGTGAGTAGGGGTCCGCAGTGGGGACCGAGGCTGCAGAGTGGGGAGAGGTGTGGGCTTTGGAATGGACTAGGTCCCTCATGCCAGAGGCCAGGTGCAGCTGCTCTTGGTCCCCTCTGGCCCTCCCAGTACCTCATTTCTGCATTTAGCTCCTCAGCCCCTGAAGGCTGTTGTCTCTCCCTGTTCTCCGCAGGCTCTGGGCCCAGTCGGGACTGTAAGCAATGACTGGGATCACAGGAGCATGTGTGTGCAGCGCTGAGCCAGGTCCTCCACGTGCATTGTCTCCTTTCCTCCTCAGTCCCCTTCCTCGAGGAAGGTTCTGTGATATTATAGTTGAAGGGAGTCAGAGCAGGGCCGGCGGGAGGATAAACTGCCTTTGTGTGGCCTGGAGGAAGCCTCGTTCCAGCCACAAATACCGAGCTCCTCCCTGGTGCTTTGCAGTCGGGAAGTGGAGATGGATTGGACCCAGGCCGATCCTCCAAGGACTGGAATTGGCAACTCAAAGTAGTAATGAGTTAGATTCGAAGAGACCTAATGATACAATATTCATTCATTCAGCAGGCAAGCGTTTAGTGAGCACCTGTTACATGCAGCATTCTAGAGCTACAGACAGGAAAGACAGAGTCCTTGCTGCGCAGGGAAGTACTCAGAGCGGACTATGGGGCTCGGCTTCCGGGTGTGGAGTGTGATCGTGCTTTGGGAGGCTGCACGAGGCCTGTGCTGCCCCCCAGCTAGCTCACAGGCTGTCTCAGCAACAGCTGCGTCTCTGCTGGGAAGGCTGGTTCGGAGGCACTGCTCAGGCCCCCAGACTGGTATCTGTCCCTGGGCTTCTAGCCGGCCGAGGACAGAGCAGCTCATTTTCCCTGACAGCCACTCAACCCTAACCCCGACAGCCGATGGAACACGTACTTCAAGGACAACGAGGTGCTGCTGCAGATCGACAAAGATGTCCGGTGAGCAGGGCGCTGGGCGCTGGGAGCCGGCCCCTGGGGCTTCTGTGGGATTTCCAGTTCTTCTGCCCTGTCCCTTCCCAGCCCAGGCCCGCAGGGGCGTGTTTGAGGAACTGCTGGTGAGTTGTCCTGGTAGCTGCGTCCAGGCCCTAGTGGTAGCAGGCCTGGGGTGGGGCTGGTGGTGCGGGGAGTGCCCTGAGTGCCCGGCTCTCCTCTCTCCCTGCCTTAGTTTCAGTTGTAGCCCTGGCGTCTGTGGATTCATCTCTTCCTTCCTTCAGCAAATATTGAGGCCCCGCTACATGGCAGGCTCAATGGCAGGCTGGGCGTTGAACGCGGAATAGACAGACATGGCCCCTCTCCTTAAGGAACCTAGAAGCTGGCAGGGAGGACGGGAAGACGGATGTTCAACAAAACAGATCCGTGTCACTAAAGTTTGTGGAGAATGCTCTGAAGGCAGAGTTCAGGGTGCTTCAGGGCACCCTGAGGTCGGGAAGCCTCGCCTGAGGCGGCAGCTGAGATGGGAGGAGCGGGCACCTTGGGGCAGGAGGGAGGGGAGGGGAGGGCCCTGTGGTGCTGGGCAAGGAGCTGCTGTGGGAGGCCCTGCGAGCCTGCAGAGCTTGGCTGAGGAGCAGTGCGAAGGCCCGTGTGCCTGCGGCCACACTGGAGGCAAGCGGGGGTCGGACCATCACTCCATCCCAGGGATGTGGGGCAGGCGCGCAGAGGTTTTAAGCACAGGAGCGACAGGGTCAGAAGTGTGTTTTTTTTAAACTGTGAGCTACGCTGTGTGCATGTGCATGCCGTTCCTCCTGGTAGAGAAGTGTGGAGACGCTGGCTGTGCTGTCCTGTTGGGTGGGCGAGTCTGGCAGCGGGTGACTCTTCCACAGGGCTGGGTGAGGAGCCGGCAGGCCTGTCTGCAGTGGACCCAGTGCTCAGAGCTTGGGTTCTGAGTCTGCCCGCCTGCTTTCAGTTCTGCCTTCGCCGTTTGTGTTTGCAGCCCCTCGCCACCTGGGGCTGCTCCTCTCCTGTGCGCATTGTGCCCGCAGTGGGACCCCAACCCTGGGCTGCTCAGCCAGGGGGCAGAACAGGCTCTTGCCTCCTTCCTTCTCAGTCTGGAGCCTCTGCTCACCAGGTGTTTAATAGCCCCATTTAAGTCAGGAACCCCATCTTGAACCCAGTTCTGGGGAAACAGGTTCTTACCCTGGTAGTGATTGTAGCACGTTGTTCAGTGTTTATAGAGGGCAAGTTTGCAGTGTGCTCTGTATAAGATCTTTGGAAAATGTGCGTGTACTGCAGTACATATATTTTAAAAACTTGATCACGATCTAGAGCCTGTCTCCCAACTTGCTTTTTTCTCTTGCTCTGTCTTGAGCATCTCCTATGTCAGCTGTGTAACATTCTGTTGTATAATGTGTAACTTAACGAAACCTCTTCTACCATTTTAAGCCACAATGCAGTTGATACGTTTGTACATATGAGATATTGTTGACATGGAAAGACGTTTGTTTTAAGAGAAGAGTTAAGACCTTAAGGACACTTAAAAATACATATGCGTGTGTGTGTGTCTATTTGCAAATACACGTAAGATATATGGGTATGTAGACATATACCATGACTGTATTGCTTTTGAAATAAAATGTTATTAATTAAAAAACACACACACACATACAAGAGGCTTTGGGGATGCTGGGGCATCTGGCAGCAGGGTGCTGGTGGGATGCCTAAAAATCCCACGCTGAGTAACAGTCCTCTCCTGTTCCGTCTTGACAGAAGGCTGTGCCCAGACATATCCTTCTTCCAGAGGGCCACCGAGTACCCCTGCCTCCTCATCCTGGATCCGCAGAATGAGTTCGAGACCCTTCGTAAGCGGGTGGAACAGACGACACTGAAATCCCAGACGGTGGCCCGGAACCGGAGCGGGGTCACAAATGTGAGAGGCAACCTGGCAGCCCCAGGGACGCCCCGTGATCGCCTTTTCCTTCCTGCTTCTCTTGGACTTGTGGCCACGGGCCATCAGACCCCTGACCGTCTGCCCCGAGAGTTACCCAAAGCAGCCTTGGTCCTGCCCGGTCCCCCTCCAGGCTCTCTGAAAGTCAGGCATCAAAGGCTGGTGTAATGGGTGTGGGGGAGGGCCCTGCTGTGCAGTGAAGGAGCCACACTTCTGGTCTGTGGTGTAGACGGCGCTTGGAAAAGTAACTACCAGTGTGATGAGAAGGTGCGGTGGGAACAGTGATGGGGGGAGCCGACCTGGTCTGGGCATCAGGGAAGACTTCCCTGAGGAAGTGACATTTAAGCTGAGGCTCCAAGGATGAAGAGGAAAGAAACTTCCAGGTGGAGAGGATGGCATGTGTGGACGTCCTCAGGCCGGAGAGAGCTGGGTGTGTTCAAGGAAGGGAGTCCAGCATGAGGTGGGGCAGGGTGGGGTTGGGGGGTGGGTTCGCGGGGGAGGGCTGCTGGAGGATGCTGGAGAGATGAGTGGTGGTGAGGCCAGCGGGGCCTTTATCCTGGGGGCTGGGGACCCCTGCACCATTCTAAGAGCAGGGATGTGATTTAAGTCTGCCTTTATACAAGATTTGACTGGCGGGGGCAGGAATGGAGGTGGAGAGGCCGCCTGGGAGGCAGCTGAGGCGTCCAGGCAACGGGGGGTGGGGGTGGGGGTGGGGGCTGGGGTGGAGTGGGGAGGGGTGTGAGAGACCTAGGAGAAAAGAATGGTAGGTCTTGTGCTGGCCGGGTGATGCCGAGTGCTTGAACTTCGGTCTTCTAGCAAGTTCCTGTGGTTCTGAGAAGCTGCTTGTAGCTAAACAAGTATGTTGTCTTGTTCCTTAATTCACACCTACTGCTTTGGCACCTGGAGCTTTGACTTGTTCCTCACAATTTTTCGCTGTCTTCCAACAATGGAAAAATCCTCTGTAACCTCCAACAAGCTAAGCTCGTTTCCCCCAAGTGGAGTGACCGGTCAGGGCTTTGTGTTTCCAGGAGAGCAGCCGTTTTCCACCACAGGGGTGATGGGGCCGTTCTGGCTGATCCCCGGGTTCCACGTGCTCACGACAGCTGGGTGTGTCAGGAGGTGCCACGTGCTTGGCTAAGTGGCCCCGTGGCCGGGTTGGTAGCCCTGCTGCTTGGCTGCTGTTCTAGCTGCCTGGCTAGATGGGCACCCGGCTTCTGTCATGCATTTTACTACAGTGATTGGTGGCTGAGAACTGATTTTAGGTTTGGACCTGGTCCTGGTGATAGAGAACCGGACCACAAGCTCCATTGCTAAACCTCTGGACCAGTGGCTGGGCAGTTTTGAGTGTAAGCGGACTGTTTGATCCTGGGCAACTAACACCAGACTCACCTTCCTGGGCCTCCGCCTCTTCTTCTGTAAACTGGGTGTGATCATTTCCGCCCTGTCTGGCTTTTGAATTGCCCAGAGGGTGAAATGAGGTCATGGCTGTGCAGATTCTTGGAAAGCAGTGGGCACTCTCTGAGGCCTGGGCCTCGGGTTCTAGAGTGAGCTGGTCTGGGCTCACTTTAGTGCGAGACGTCTGAAGAGTGGCCTAACATTTCTGAGCCTCAGTTTCCTCATCTTGAAAATGATGTTGAGAGAGTATTCTAGGCCGTTCAGGGCATTAAACAGGAAGGCTTGTGGAGCTCTGTTTTGCAATAGAACACTCTGGGTAAACATTAGTGATGTGTGTGTCTGTGTGTGTGCACACGTACACGCATATGTATATGTGTATATATAGTGGAAAAGGGAGTTTCCTGTTTCCAGGACCCTGGGCTTCCAGGACAGCTTCATACTCTGTCCCTGCATGGGTGTGCCTGTGGCTCTCATACAGTTAACCCCAGGCACCTGAACCTTTACGAAGCTCTCAGGGGATCCTGATGTTGGGGACCTCGGCTCTATTGCATGAGTTTTCAGCAGGGATCATCTCTTCATTCATCTCCTAACTTTTTCTTATGAAAATTTTGAAACATTCAGAAAAGTCGAAAGAAGAGTACAATGCACACCTATATACTTTCCACCTAAATTCAACAGTTGTTAACCTTTGGCCATGTTTGTGTGTGTGTCATATATAGACAGACGTCCTGACCCTTTACCTCCAAGTACTTCAGCAGGCATCCCGTGAGAATAAGGACATCCTCCTTACCACTGTCTCATCTACGGAGATTAACCATAATCCGTAATAAGACCTCACATCCAGTCCAGGATCGGGTGTCCTCAGTCGTACTAAGAATATTTTGGTGGTTTTAAATCCAGACCGGCACCTCTTTAGGGTTTATGCGTTGCATTAGGATGTTACGTTTCTTTAGTCTCTTCATCTGGAGCACGCCTCCACTCCCCCCTCCTCAACATTTGACTTTTTTGAAGAGTCTTAACCAGTTGTCTGTTTTTGATATATTTTTATATATTTTTTAAGTTTTTTTTAATTGAAGTATAACTTACAATAAATGCACAAATCTTAGGTATACAACTAGATGGACTTTTTCTTATCTATACACCCGTGTAACTGCCAACCAGATCAAGACACGGAGCGTTCCCATCATCCAGAAAGTTCCCTCATGCCCCTTCCTAGTCAGTACGCCTTCCCTCAGAGGTAAGCACCATCTGACCTGTATCACCATAAACGAGATTGCAGCCCAGCTGGCTTGTAGACTGTCGCACGTTCTGGATTTGTCCGCTTGTTCCCGGTGGTGTTGGACGCGTTCCTCTGTGCCCTGGGTTGCCCATGAGATGGAAGTTAGGTTTCGGCTCGTGGGTGAACATATCCGGTGAGAACATACTGTCGGTAGTGCCACCCACCTTAACGGGCTGCTCCTCTTCTCCCCCAGATGAGTTCCCCGCACAAGAACGCGGCGCCCTCATCCGTGAACGAGTATCAGGTGCTGCCCAACGGCTGTGAGGCCCACTGGGAGGTGGTGGAGCGGATTCTGTTCATCTACGCCAAGCTCAACCCTGGCATCGCTTACGTGCAGGGCATGAATGAGATCGTGGGGCCCCTGTACTACACCTTTGCCACCGACCCCAACAGCGAGTGGAAGGGTAGATAAACGGGCTCCAGGCTAATGGGCTTTATTGTATCTAGCTGTGCAGCTCACTTCCCTCTTTTGGGCCTTCATTTTCTGTCGGATAAGCGGGTTGGCCTGGATCATCTCAGATCTTTTCTGGCTTGAACTTTCTAGAATGTTAGATGTTTACTGACCTCTTGCTATCTGTAACTGAATTTCTGGTAGAGGAGATGAGCTGTATATACAGGAAGCTGAACGATAGAAAGGATTTAAGTAAATCACGATTTGAAAAAATGTCAGCAGAAGAGTATGTAATCAGTTGCTGAGCTGGTGTACAGCATTGTCAGGTGTGAGAAGAAAGAAGTGATGTCCTTAGTCGGGGGTGGAGAGTGGCCACGGACAGAGGAGGGGCGCAGCCTGACCAAGGTGGGGTGACTTGGTGAGGCTCAGAGGGGAGGGGGGTCTCGTGTAGCTGAGCGGTGGGGTGGGACGCGGGAGGGTGCCAGTTCTCTCACGGCTGCCCTCACCCTGCCCGTCTCTCCCAGAGCACGCTGAGGCGGACACCTTTTTCTGCTTCACCAACCTCATGGCTGAGATCCGGGACAACTTCATCAAGAGCCTTGACGACTCACAGTGTGGCATCACCTACAAGATGGAAAAGGTGTACTCCACCCTGAAGGATAAGGACATGGAGCTCTACCTGAAACTGGTGAGGACCCCCAGCGCCACACGGGCCAGGGCAGACAGAAAGGGGCAGAGGACGGCAGGCTTCTGAGCAGCCCAGGCCCAGGGTGAGGACTGGCTGGAGCCTGGGGCTTGGATGTGGCTGCTGCCGCCAGGGAGTGCTGAGCCGGGTGCCGAGGCGGGGCCGGGGGACCTGGGCAGCAGGTGGTGGGAGCCTAGCGGGCTGGGGGTGGGGGAGGTGGATGCGGTGCCCCGTGTGCCAGGCACGGTGCGGGGCCTTTACTGTGTGCTGTTAGTCCCCTAAGAAAGGAAGTATGAATTTCATTTTTAAAAATTAGTGGAGTGGCATTCCATGTTTATTTCAGGAAACAGTTCAGTAAAAAGGACATTTACTTATAAACAAAACAAGTTTCATGAACAAGAAGATATACATATATATAAACATATGTTTTTAAGCAAATATGGAATCACATCTTGCTGTTTTGTAACACGCTTTTTCGGTCAATAGTATTCGCTGTGGCTGACCAGAGGGCTCGTCTCCATTGGGAATAATTGCCTTGCAGGGCTGCCGTATGGAGTAAATAAATGAGATATTTACCATGTTAAGCACAAGGCCAGACATGTAATGAGTGCCCAGTAATGGTTTCTGTGTCCATAAATCCAAAGTTATAATCTGTGTAGTGTATTTATTAATCTAAGGAGCTGATATAAAAGTTTGGGTATCTGGCTTCTCTCAAAAAAACATCAGACGATCTGACAGCATTGGCTGGCAGCAAGCAGGAGCTGCGCCTTGCACTGAGCGAGGCTCCCTAGGCAGCTCCGTGCCATCCCCGCCCCAGCGTGCCTGGCGCTTACGCCTGGCCTGCTGCTTGTATGAATTCATGTCTAATAGGTTGCATGGTGTTCCGTGGCAACCAGCCAACACGGATTCTTGCACCCACCCTGCACCTCTGTCTCCCCAGCAAGAGCAGAATATCAAGCCCCAGTTCTTCGCCTTCCGCTGGCTGACGCTGCTGCTGTCCCAGGAGTTCTTGCTGCCTGATGTCATCCGGATCTGGGACTCCCTGTTTGCCGACAACAGCCGCTTTGATTTCCTCCTTCTGGTCTGCTGCGCCATGCTCATGTGAGTGTGGCCGCGAGCAGGGGGCGGGCAGGGCCTGCTCTTGAGAGGCTGGTGAGAGCTTCTGGGATTCTCAGGCGAGCATCAAACCAAACTTGCTGCGGGTGCGGTGGGACGGCAGGAGTGGGAAGGGGCCTGGCGGGCCTGCACTCAGAGTGGCCCAGGGGCCCAGCGCTTTTGTTGCTTGTTTTTCTTAGACTGATCCGCGAGCACTTGCTGGAAGGGGACTTTACGGTAAACATGCGGCTCCTGCAGGTAATGGAGTTTGGAGGGGCAGGCTCAGTCTTCAGCCATGAGACAGACACTTAGCAGGCGGCCGCCCCATGCCAGCTGCTGTGATAGGCTGCGTCAGGATCAGGAGAGGGTAGCAGGGCTTAAGAGTCCAGACCCCTGAGGCAGGTCTGTGTTTGGATCTGGGTTAAATCTGGCTTTGCCACTGACCTTGAGTGTGGTGTGGGCTTGAGTGAATGACTTGGCTTCTCTGAACCAAGCTGGTTCAGAGAAGCCAAGTCATTCACTCAAGGCTGCGACTTATTACCCAGTATGTGGTTATAATGCCCGTTGGTAATCGTGCTCAAACCAGGGGAAGGAAAGCGTGGGCCTTAGTGGTTAAGAACATGGGCTTGAGAGTCAGACGATTTGGGGTTCACATCTTTGTTCTCCCATGCTAGTCATGTGACCTAAGCTAAGTGGCAACCTCTCTAGGCCTTAATTTCTTTGCCAACGCCTGGCCTGGGGTTGGTTTTCAATAACTTCATTGACTAGATCTGTAAAACGGGCAGATTCACAGTAAGCCCTCATTGGGCTGTTGAGGTGACCCAGTGAGCTAGTACATGGACAGTGTCTGGCCCTGTTCCAGGCTCATTGTCAGTGGAGGTCAGGGTTCGATGGCAGGAGTGGGGAGAGGTGAAGCAGGTGGTCCTTGTCCTAGGGAAGGGGCTGTGAGACCTTTTGGGTGGTGACTAGTTGGGTTGGTTAAGTTAACTGCTGCAGTGGGTGTAGTATAGCTCCATGCAAGGTTTGGGCAGACTGGGCCTATCCTGTGCTCCCTATCCCTTAGGCCTGGGGTCCAGCATGGTGACAGGTCTACTGGAGAGGGCTGGGGGCAGCAGAGGTGGTGAAGGGTGAGCTGAATTCTCAAGCATACTGTTGGCCTTTCCCCTGCCCAGGATTACCCCATCACAGACGTCTGCCAGATCCTACAGAAAGCCAAGGAACTCCAAGACTCCCAGTAGCCTGGCAGCAAGAGGCCCAGGTTTGGGAGAGAAGCCACCGCCGACCCCTGTGCCCTGGCTTCTGGGACGAGCAGGAGGCCGTGGGGTCCCAGCCAGCGGGGCCGCTGCAGGATCAGCCCACTCCAGGCCTCTCACCCTGGTCGCTCCCACCGGGGGCCCGCTGGGCCCTGCTCTTCCCAACCACCGAGCCCTGGCTCCTCCCCCCACTCCACCCCTTCAACCCTGGACCCTTGACCCAGGCTGCTGAGCAGGGCAGGAGCTTGTGAGGTGGTATCCTGGGGCTGGGGCAGATGCGGGCCCTGCGGGCAGGCAGGGGCCCCTCCCTGCCTCTGCTCTGCTTCTCTCTTCCTGCTCTCCTGCTCTGTCTTCTGGGCGCTGGTCAGGGAGGTGCTTGGCAAATGAGCCAGAAACCACTTCTGGAGGTCGGTGCTTGTGCCTTCTCCACAGGGAAGGTGACACCGTGAAGGAGCTAAGAGGCTGCCAGGCCCAGGTCTCACCCTCTGTCTCTTTCCCACAGAGTGTTTTTGTGTGTGTGTGTGTGTGTGTGTGTGTGTGTGTGTGTGTGTGTGTGTAGTTGTGGGTTGCTGTGTATGTCTTCTAATCCCCCTTGTGTGTGCTTCTCTTTCGTCTGTGTGTGTTTTCATGTGTATGGAGGGAGGTGACTCCCTCTTGGTCTTTGCTTTTTGTCTGTCTCTGCCTCTGTCTCCCTCTCTCTGCTTCCACCTCTTTCACTGAGGGTGTGTGGCTCTCACTCTGTCCGCCCCTCTCTCCGTTGGCTCGCTCTCTCCCCTCTCTTTGGGTTGCCTTATCCCCAGCCTCTCCCCCACCCTCCTCGCTATGCCCAAGAACCCTGGAGACAGAATGAAGAGTCTGGCTGAGCCAGGCTCCTGGAGGTCAGCCTTGACCTTCGCAGCCTGTTCCCATCTCCCAGCTCTAGGCTCCCAGGGCCCCCAGTCCACAGTGCCTCACTCGAGGGCCCTGAACCCTTGCCCCACCGCAGGATTCTTGGAAACCCAGAGTTGCTGAGAATTAATAGCCATGAAGCTTTGAGCCTCACCCACCTGCCCAGCGAGGGAGGGGGGAGGAGAGGGAGAGCTGGGTCTTCCAGAGGTTCCCCCAAAGGTCCTTCTCTCCCGAAAGAAAAAGGACATTAAGGTTGGGATCCAGGTGCTTCTAAGGTGTAGTCGTTCCCATGGCTTCCAGGTGCCGGCCCAGGGCAGGCGAGTCCCATAAAGGGCGGTGGGATCAAAGGGAGTCTCTCTGGGCCAGGTGTGGCCAAGCTCAAAGGCCTGGGTCCTGTCAGGGCCAGGAGAGCCATGTCTCCCTCAGGCAGGGGAGCTGAAGGAGGTGCAGGCCCTTCTCCGGTCACCTGCCGGGCTGCTTCCAGGATGTGGGGCCCATGCCTACTGAGTAGGAGCAGCCGGCTCCTCCCAGTCTGGGCTGTGGGACTAGTGGGCCTATTCCGACCAAGGCCCTCCCTCCTTTTGTGAGGAGGCAGCTGGTTTGCATCTGGAAGGCTGGGTAACGTAGCACGTAGCACGGGTCCTCTTCATCTCCCCAGACTGGCCAGCAGGGACCCTCAGGCCCCCCGGAAACTTCCTTAGCCTGACAGCCAGGACTTGTGGCTATGGGCCAGGGACAGTTTTCCCGAGGAGGCGCCTTTCCAGGCTGTCCATTGGATGCTTCTAGGACTCCATGCACTTGCCTTTTTCCTCCTCCCCTCCCAGCACAGTATTTGGGAGATTTTTACTATTTATTCAGACTCCTGGTTATTTATTGCAGATTGGCAAGTGCTTGATTTGGGGATGAAGGGTAGGACTCCAATGGTGGAAACCAGCTGGAGTCATGGTCTTCCTGACCTTCCAAGGTCAGTCAACATCCTCTCCGCCTGCCTCTGGGACCTTCCTGGTTTTCCAGCAGGTCCTGCCTGGGAGGGCCCTGAGCTCTGTAATAGAACTGGGTCTAAGGGAGACAAGAGAGTTGGTATCCTTGCCAGCCTCCAAGACACCGGCATGGGGTAAAAACGCTGCTTCCCAGCAGCCTGGCTCACCCTCTTCCCAGAACTTGTCAGCTGGTGGTTCAGTCACAACTTGATCCCTTCACAGCCTGTCGCTTGGGCCACAGCCTGGGTCCCAGCAGACACTGCCCAGGACACCTGATGCATTGCCTCTTACCTGTCCCTCTACCTTCCCTCCTGGGACCATACTAGAATCACTGCGTCTCATTTGCCTCAGTGGCAGACCTGGGTCCAGTGCCCTCTCCTTGACCTTGTGATGAAGGTCAAAAGAGCACAGGGGCCATGTCCAGGTTAGACTGAGCTCGCCAATGGGAGGACCTGCCCTTCTCCCTCCCCAGACTCTCAAGGGAGGTCCCCAGAGAGCTAGAGACCCCGAGGCTTCCTGCTTGGGAAGCTGCCCCCAGGACTTCGGATGCTTAGAGAATGGGCTGTATGAATTCAGCAGGTCTCATTCCAAGGGTCAGAATGTTAGTCTGCTTTTGTTTTTTCATCTGTTTCGTTCTTTGAATCAGTGCTGTTGATGACAAGTTGTCTTTAATAAATCATGTGTTCTTTGCAGTGGGCATTGGTTCTGTGAGGGGCTGAAACCTTCAAGACCTCTGAGCAGGAAAAATGAGCAAAGATGGAGTCAGGAAGCTCTTAGAATGGTCAAAGGAAAAGGTTAGGAAATTGTGGGAAGAGCCTATTCAACTCTTTAACAACTGCAATTTGCAGTTGTAGGGAGGAGAGAGTGTGCACTGGGGCAGGAGGTATTATTACATTATGATTTCATAGCAAGTTAGTTTTTAGATTGAGAAAATTTTGAAATTCAACAAGTCGTTCACAGCCCACAATCTGGAGAAAATCACCGATAACATGTTGGTCTTCTCTTCGTTGATGTAATTACTATTATATAATTGTCATTTTCTTGATACGGAGTTTTGTGTATTGTCTCTCCCTTCACGTTAGGTGGTGAGCAAGTTGCTGTATGATTTAAAAATATTTTTATGGGCTTCCCTGGTGGCGCAGTGGTTGAGAGTCCGCCTGCCGATGCAGGGGACATGGGTTCGTGCCCCGGTCTGGGAAGATCCCACGTGCCTCGGAGCGGCTGGGCCCGTGAGCCATGGCCGATGGGCCTGTGCGTCCGGAGCCTGTGCTCCGCAGCGGGAGAGGCCGCAACAGTGAGAGGCCCGCATACCGAAAAAATATATATATATATATTTTTATGGTCTAGATACTATTCTAATGTGCTAAAAATGTCCGGAACCAGTGTCTATTTCCGAATATTTTGCTTATTCCCCGGCCTCTATTATAAGTAATACGGTGGGGAATCCTTGCATTCCTGATTTATTTCCCCAGCTCAGTCCTCTAAGTGATTTAGAAGGTATGAACCTTTATAAAGCTTTTTTTTTTTGTCCGCTGGGGGCTTGCGGGATCTTAGTTGGCGGAGCGGGAGGATCCCTCGGTGGAGACCAAGGCGACCTGGCGGGGCGGAGCCGGTTCTGGGGGCAGCCAATCACAAACCGCGACGGCGATGCCACGCCCTCTCAGCGCCCAGTCTTAACAAGGGCAAAGGAAGGGCCTCGGGAAGTCCAGTTGGGCCGGTGGTGACGCCTGGAAGGGCCCCGGGAGGTCCAGTTGGGCCGGTCCTGACGCCTACTGTTGGCTTCCTGAGTATAATATTAATACTTTGGAGCGCTCGGGAGTGGAAGGGACCCGCGTTCCGCTGTCTTACTCCTCCACTTGGCGCTATCCTCGCGGTGGGCCCCGCAGGCCTGTGCGGCCCCTTTCAGAGACTCCCGGGTCGGACGCGTGAGGTCGAGGCTTTCTTTCGTCTCCGCGGACCGCTCTCCATCCGCGCTCCGGCCACAATCCATGGCCAAGCAGTTGCTTCGGGGCGGCTTGACCCTGGCGCTGGGCGCAGGGCTGGGTGCAGCCGCCGAGGGCTGGCGGCGGCGGGCGGACGCACGGGCGGCGCCGGGGCTGCTGAGCCGGCTGCCCGTGCTGCCTGTGGCGGCGGCGGCCGGGCTTCCCGCCGTGCCCGGGGCTCCGACGGGCGGCAGCCCCGGCGAGCTGGCGAAGTACGGGCTGCCCGGGGTGGCGCAGCTCAAGAGCCGTGAGTCGTACATGCTGTGTTACGACCCGCGCACCCGCTGCGCGCTCTGGGTGGTCGAGCAGCTGCGGCCTGAGAATCTCCGCGGCGACGGCGACCGCCGCTCCTGCGACTTCCACGAGGACGACTCGGTGCATGCGTATCACCGCGCCACCAACGCCGACTACGGGGGCAGCGGCTTCGACCGCGGCCATCTCGCCGCCGCCGGCAACCACCGCTGGAGCCAGAAGGCCATGAACGACACCTTCTACCTGAGCAACATCGCGCCCCAGGTATCGCCTGCGACCCCTGCCCCGGCGGCGGAAGGCGAGGCCACCGCTCGCCTCTGAGCCTCGATTTGCTCCTCTGCAGATAGGAAAGCTACCGAGTGCGCGCCTTACGCCAGGCGCCTGGCTAAACACACCGCGCGCCGCAGGCGGAAGGGACGGAGCGGTGGGGCGCTGAGCACCCACTCTGCACTCTGATCTTAACCGAGGGCCCCCGGGCGCCTCCCTGATCTTCAGTTTCCTTGTCTGTAAAATGGGGATAAAACTGTTATTCACCTACCTCGTGCAGAGGCGCTGAGGAGCTAAGGACACCATGCACGTAAAAGTACTGAGCACACTTCCTGGCCCATGACAAGCATTCAGTAAATACCGGCTATAATGAGGGAAGTGATTCTCGGAGAGACAAAGTGACTGGCGCAGTGTCACAGTGGGAGGAGACCCAGGCAGCCTGCCTAGAGAACCCTGAGCTTTCGGCCATTGTCCTACCCTGCCTTCCTTCCAGGAGTAAAAGGAAAGATAGCTGCATGCAGTGGCTGTTAGTAGCAGTCGCTGTGCGCCTGGACTAGCCGCCCTACCTCTAGCCCTGTTCCCACCAGGGCCTGACACCCACGTGGAGACGGATGTCAGGCTCTGAGTGAGGCTTGTGAGGTCCTAGCCTCTCTGACCTGACTATGCTCACCCAGGAGCACAGTCCCCTACCCATCTGACTAGACGCCGTGCTGAGGACTGGAGAGCTCAAGTGGTGGAGTCAGGAGCAGATTCCTGACCTTCCCCGCTGAGCTCTGCATGCGGTTCAGACTAGGAAAAGGAAAGGAGAGATGGTTGGGAGAGCTGGTCTTCCCATGAGCCCCTGGGGGCAGTGGGCAGGCCTGTTTCTATCTGGGAGGTTTCCTCCGTTCCTTCATATGGCTCTTTGGAGCTGAGAAACAGCTCTGAGACCTAGGATGCTAGTTCTCCTGCTCTAGCTGGACGAAAGTAGCACCTCCTTGAGCTCTATCCGGGCCCCACCCATGTGACTATGTAGGCTAAGTGACTCTCCTTCCATGAACCCGTTTCCTCCACCTGCTTGTTCCCACCCACGCTGGAACTTTCTGGCGCCATGCCAGTGCCAGCCCTGCAGGGCCTGGGGCAGCCCTCTAACTGCAAGTGTTCCAGCCAGTCTCACTGAAGGCCACTTCTCCTGCCAGGT